GTCATGTCCCGCTCCAAATTACTTAATATTCACTCAGTGAAATGAAGAATTAAAGAATTTGATGAGAATTCAGGAATTAGTAAAGACCTTGGATTGCAGTCAGTCTCTTAACTTCAAAACATGTTCCTATTCTATCAGAGAGGAAATAATTTTTCTTTTATATTTTTTATTCAGCTGTATTTATCAATGAATCTGGTGTCATTGGTGATGAGAGGAGTTGGTTTTAAATGTCGTTGTAGCTTTTTATTTGCACTAGTTGCATGTCATGCTATAAAGGAAAAAAATACACATGTACCCAAAAAAAAAGGTTCTAAATTTGACAAAAGTCACCAAATTCATTTAACAGGTGCCTGCGTCACAGGAAAGTTCTTGGGGGTGGAATGAGACAAGCTGGTGTATTAGCTGCTGCAGGGATTTATGCATTAGATAACATAGTTCCAAAACTTAAAAGAGACCATGCTAATGCACAGATTTTTGCTAAAGGTCAGTATTGTATTTCATCTTCCAAAGCCCCTGGGGTAACTTTTAAGCCCTGCAACCATAATGGCCGAAAATCAAGTCAACCAACCTCCTCCCCCGATCCCGCATTTTTTTAAAGTTTCTATTCTACAAAAGCGCGCACGGGGCGTTATGGACCATCTAATGGAAGTTTTCGAGAAATCAGTTCAGATTTACCATCCTTATCATTTCTGTTCCTACAGGAATTCACGAAATGAAAGATCTTGGACTGGATGTAGATCTTAAGAGCGTGGAGACCAACATGGTGTACTTCAGTGTCAACCATCCCACAATCTCACCCATAGAACTTTCCAAACGCATGCTCATGGTATCTGATGACGAACCAACGGAAACAAGAATAGTAGTTAGAATTTTGACCGCTCGAAAAGGAACAATACGAGTGGTTCTTCATCACCAGGTGTCTGAGGATGATGTTTATGTGACTTTACAAAAAATGAAGTACATTTTAACCTCGTGATGCGTGATGCGTGATGCGTGATGCCTAGGGCGAAACGCATTCAAAAATGAAAAAGAGAGATATATGTCCGCGTGAGTCACATACTCCATAAATCGCCACCTTTGGAGAATTAAGGTGTAAGTCGTTTACTAGCAAAACGGAAATAACCAGGAAGTATGATGAACTTGGGGAGTTGGTGGTTTGACTTTAGTGTGTAATGCTTTTCACGTTTTTGCTCACCCTTTTTCAAGGGTTAAGGGAGAGTACGCAGGGGCGTCCAGTATTGGCGCAGTATTGGCGAACATACATCAACTTTATATAGAGGTATCTATGGCAATCCCGCTTTATCATTAAGTAATCATTCTCCTTGTTGAGATAACTTCTTCTGAAACCAGATGGGTTCAGATAATTCGAGACGATTCAACAAACCCAATAAACCATCCTGGAGCGATGAAGTATGAAATAATCAAAATAAGAAAGGTTGAGCTAATCTCGCGAGTCGTCCCTGCAAGTGATGAGAGCAAAGAAATCATCGATAAGCAATTACTGGTAACACACGACACGGAGTAAGCAAGACCCGACTGCAGTATAAACTTCAATGCGAAAGTGCATTGGAGCTTCAACTTAGTTAATGCAACTACTAAAATACTACCTCAAACGTATTAAAAAACATTCCCTTACATTGAATGCTCGGAAAGTGTTTTTTAAGATAGGAAAGAGGAAGTTTTGTTGGGTGAAAACGTACGCATCATATTTAGAATTTCAATCACATGGCAGTTTTTAACAGTAAAAAAGATGAACCAGAAAGTAAAACTGCGCAGCTGTAGTTAAATCTTAAGCGGGTGTCAATTTCTGAGTGCGTTTACCGTCACATCTCAACTTCAGCATAGCACATATGAGAAGTGTTGAGTTCCAAATGAAAACTTCATTAATTTGCCGTCGGGGTTCCGTTTTCAGACCGCACAAATTTCGGTTACTTCACGTCATTGTTTAGCTGAGGACTGCTGAAAAATGTACAAGGTTTCAAAACGCACTTGCTGAGGTATAGTTTTGCAACGTCCTCGTTATGGGATTCTCCTAGGCACCTATGTATTTTGATAACCAGGATTATTTTGTCTCTCAAAGGTTTTACATGAATTTATTCGAATTAAAACCGGTTGCATATCATGCAACAATTTTGTAAGACGAATATTGTGCGTGCTATAAAATGTCTTGGCAACGACAGGATTGTTCTGATGAGAAATCGCTTGCTCTAAAAATTTCCTTTAAAGGGCATGTAAACCCAAAAATACATGTTTTTCTTATACTATGTAAAAAGTGGCGTAGAAAACGAATTTGAAATTAGTTTTGTCCAATTCGACTTATTTTAGGAGAAAATCGGCATTTTCAACTGAAATTCCATTTCCGGTAAAAACAATAGCGAGAAGTCGTGACGTAAGCGGTGGAACCAAAATATTGCGCAACACATATTCCCCAGTAGAACTGGTGTGGGAGTTCGTGTAAGTAGCGGTAGTTCGGAAGATGTTTTTTCAGAAGATAGCGACTCGAATGCCTTAAGCTTAGTACATGACAGCGCTGGAGATAATCCAGAATCTTCAGGAGAGTCTGGGCCACGTCCTTAACAACATGAGCCGCGTAGGGTTCACCGAAGCGATCCGCACGAAGACAGTACAGAACATGTCGACAGCGATGCGACTGTCTCGGAAACTCAGACTGGTATTTAATTTTCTTTGTGATCTATTTGTATTTAACATGAAAATGCAATAAAGCGAGGGTACAATCTAAAGGAATGCAACAGAATTTTTTTAAACTTGAGCTTCTGAGAGTGTTTCATATAAAATTATCAAAGGTGCGAGTGTGGAACTTGTCAACCAATGCCGACAACTCATGAAAGTGTTTGTTGTACGGAAATCGGGCAATTGTGACAAAATGGCCTGAAACCCAGATAAGTTGTATCACTGAGCATCCAGGTTTTCAGTCAATTTGCCTCGATTTCTGGGTGCTGGAGACGGCCAAGTACGCTTACAGGCAGCAGCAAAGCACAGATAATCACACCGGAAACGACTGAGCTAAATATTTTCTGTATCATCTGTTTTGTTACATTTTGAGATCGATTTACTTGAGTTGTTTCTGCCATTGATTTAATAATACAGTACTAGAGCTGGTTGTTTTTCGCTTCTTTCCTGGCAGGAAATTTCGCTAAATTGCCTACAGATAGCTTGTTCGTTGGTGTTGGGGATATCTCGGCAAACACTTTAGGGTCGCTGTGCTATCTTGTGCGGTAAACAATATCCTTCATCTCAGAAGCATTTCCATCGATAAACAAGTTGTATCATGTACATTTCCTTGTGTGGCCTTCATAATTATCCAACCCTGTTTGTGTTTGCTTCGATTTGAAATATTGAAAAGATAGTTTTGCAAGCTGAAATCAGGATCTTTTAAGTTGTACTCAAAATGATGAATATTGTCCTACTGACCTTTGAATGTATTTTCACTGCTGTGAAAACCGCGACACAAATTCTTCTGCTGTCTCTCTGCAGGGTTTCTCAAAGGAAGCACTAAGTGGGGCTGGCATGGATTTTCTTATAGAACATAAGGGTTGATTATGGGATCCTGTATAGAATTCTTTATATTCCAGATCACGTTATTACACACTGATATCAACGAATTCTCTTTCTTTGATACGTGTTTCGAATTCAGGCAAAGGTTCAGACATGTCAGTGTCTTTTACGGGCTCAGCGCTGGCTCCCAAACAACTGACTTCCCCATAATCTTTCATTAGATGAGAAAAAAGATGTTTTTAGAGAACCAATAAAGCTATTGTTGTTTAATTAACGAAACGTTCTCATGTAAATCGATTTTGTACTTTCTCTGTTGACCTCTAACTTTTGAAGAGCTCAACTTCTTTCTCAGTTTGGTCAGCCACTTCCGAATCCTCGTCGTCTGCCGACTGTATGGGTTGTTTTTTCGTCTTCCGAATAATTTGCTTCTGGTGAGGCCTGAATCGTCGGTACAGCACCAGGAAGAAAAATGACTGCTACAAACAACAGAACGTTCGAACGGCTCGACGAAATCGGCTATTTTCACTTGAACAAATTTCACAAATTGTCGCTTCAAATTTGCGTCATTTAGAAATATTTGCATTGTATGCCCAGTTTTGTTTGAATCAGTACAAAACTGGACGGCACAACGCTTCACCATTACGAAAAAATTGATTATATTGAAGTAAACTGTAAGTAAAAAAATCATGACGAGACCAGCAAACAACGGCTGTAGAAAAGACTCCTTCATGCCTCACGCGATTATAAAACGAGACTTTGAAGGGTCCACCCGTGACGTCACAGGAAAGATGGCGCCATTCAAGATGGCGAATGTTTCGAATTTGGAAGAGCTTTTACAAAGTGAAAATGGACTTTTGAGAATAAACGAATGGTACCTTTGGTGTACTTGATATATTTACTAAACATCTATGTGAAAAGAAAATGAACGTTTTTTGGGTTTACATGCCCTTTAAACATTTCAATATCCTCTCCTGGTTTTAGCAGGAGTTTATTTGGAAAGGCAAACATTAACTGGCTCCGACAATTAAGGTTTTTAAAACGTAATGCAAAAAGTCCATTTCCGTTTAATTAAGGTTAAAGGAGAGTTTTTACGAAATGCTGGATATGGAAGTTAATTGGCAGTCAGTTTTCGGATCAATATCAATATCTAGGCAACTGCCCACCTACCCCTCCCCTAACCCAACAACAGTCCATTGAAACAAGTTAAGGTCAATGTTGGTTTAGGGAAGGGGTAGGTGGGCAGTTGCCCAGATACTGATATTGGTCCTAGTTTTCTATATTATTCCCTTCACACTCTGTTGGTGACAACCCCCCCCCCCCGAACCATGCGATCCCCCCCACAAGATCCCCAGTCCCCTCCCCCCCTTCAAGTAATAAATAGTCATTAGTCCCTTAAATGCATTTTGTATACAATAGGCCAAGATTTGGTGCATGTGACATGAGTTACAAAATAGGGAAGGAGTCATTGATGACGCCAAACAGAATAGCTAAAGGAGTGATCTTTATTTTCACACAACGAGCTCGCAAAAATTTGAATTGGACTTACAAAGATTTAAATCAGCTTCGCTTATACAAAACAGTCACGCTATGCTAAGTTTTAAGACGAAGAAAGCGACCTAATACTGAGACCCACAAGCTGCGAGAACCTTTAACCTTCCACTGAGACACAAAGAGAACGAGGTGAAATGATAAATAATAAAAATAAAAATTGCAGGGGTAAATTCAGTGATAAGACATGCAAACCAGGAGTGAACTTATTTCTAATGAGATTTAAGGAGGATGGGAAAGGTAAGTGAGTTTCAAGAGGAAATTAAAGCGTGATAAAAAGTTTAGAAAAGAGACAAGTAAGAAGAGTTTCATCAAATACTGTTTTCATCTCATGCTAATCATGCCGTCGTGTAACAATACATCGTCGATCGACTCTCCCTTAACTTTATTAAAGTATGACATGGAATTGAAAAAATGGTCAACTGCAGGAACTAATGAGGAAAAATCGTAGCTTAAGGGCAAATCTTGGCACTGACCAACCCCTCTCTCTCCCCACCCACCCACTCTTACAAGTAAGTGTGTGAAGCTTGATGCCAAACAGTGATGCATTAATCAGGTTTAAAAAGTGCTGCCGCACTGGATGATTAAGTACTATTGTAGCTTGTTTAACGAGCATCAGATCAGCCTGGTCGACTTCTCGTTTGGAACTTAGGCACCGATCACATACTTAAGAAAAAGAACGGCAAGGACTCCAAATAAGGATGGAACGTACATCGCTGTGGATCCAGATTTTTCAGTAGGTATGTCAGGTGGTGTGAAATCCATGACGACCTTCATTGCTCCTTTCTGAGAGTGTGGTTCAAAGCTGCCATCATTCATTACGTCTTCGGTTGCGCGAAAAGCCCATATAAGGTACATTTCCGTGTTCTACAGAAAGAAAAACGAAAATTGGAGGTAAAGAGATTGACGCGAAGTGTTAGCTCCTTTCTACGGGCACTTCTCTCTAACGAATAGCAACAAAATAATCCAACTGGGGTACAACATCATTAAATATCTTAAATGGTGGGAACAAGCCAACTAATTAAATTACAAGCAATGTCGGGGAGTTGAAGTTGAGGCTACTGAGGAACAATTTGAACCAATGGCGTGAACAGAACTCCAGCTTTACAGAGTTTCTCTCTTCTTTTTTGCTGGAAGCCAGTTGCAGCCAGTTCAATTTAACACTTTTAGCGCCCGCGCTATAATCACCTCGCGCGGGGTATGACACAATTCTTGACCAGTGAAGGCGTGAAAGTCTCTCCAATAACCAGAGCAATTAAACTAAAAGCTGTAAATACTACAGAACCTTTATTACGATGTCGCCAGCCGCGTCACCAGTGTCCCTCTTACGCTTGAATGACAACATTGTGTAGCCATCCCGTTCCTCCTGATCCATCAAAACGAAGTCCTGGCTTTCATCTTTTGGAGGTTGGGAGGTAGTTTTCGTCATGTAATCCTAACAAAACAGGAAATATCTCATGAACAAAAACAAGTTTCTTTTGATACTATTAAAAGAACTTCTAATAGACAACCCTTACTGGTGTAAGGAGCAGCATATACATGCATACGTTTAAGGTGCCTTACCCCAATATATCCTTTACCGCCGTTTACTCCGCCAACCATCACATCGTAACCGTTCATTCCTCCAACGTTATTGGCAAAGCCAAAGCCAACCCAACCTGTTGCTTTCACCACGATCTTGAAGTAAAACATGTCCATGTTTTGATCGTATTTCCAATACAGCCTGTAGTTGTCATTTATTTTCAACATGTTGTAACCGGGCTCGATGAAAGTGTAGGCCACTGCACCCTTTGCAGTGTGTGCCATGAATGTTCCATTCGCGGTCATATTGACATCGTACATTTTATGATATGCCCAGATGAGGTACATCATACCTGGCTAGAAATTCCAAAGTGAAAAAAACAATTGATCAGATTTTAAGTGAGGAACCCACACTGCGCACAGTAACTGCCTTGATCTAATATGTTCCCCTTCGATGACTCGTTATTCCATTTTCAGTTATTGTGACAACGTTTATGTTATGATATACCTAGACAGGATACACCATACATCTGGCTGAAACACTCTTTTCATTCCCATGCTCTATTTTTTAGGTTATGCATTTATATTGCAAAAAAAAAAATTACCAACTAATCAAGTCTAGGAATAGAAAAAATGACGCATCAAATGTGAAATAACTGTCGCACATTGTCCTCCTTATTCCTAGGTGTTTTTGGACTCGGCTAAGTCTGGACCCTACCCATACTACAAGTAAATTTTTTTTTACTAGTATGCACTCACAACGAGGCTCGTTATCAATTAGATTTCCTCTGCCTGGTGACGAGGCTCAAATCGAGGCAAGAGGTAAGTTTTTTTGTCTACTTTTTCCCTTCAACCAAACAACCCAAACAATTGAAATGAACTGAGCTATCTTGCATGAAGTTATTTTTGTTTTTCACGTGAATTAATCTCCGCGGTGTTTAATGAACTGTTATCGATTGTCTAAAGAAATTCATATCTCTCTTGATTAACGAAGGCCAACTTACGTTATCAACTCAGTTGATAACAGTAAATTACCCAGCTCTACTCTCCCGTCGACGCAGCACCACAGTTTCTTTAGAAGCTTTCCCCTCTTTTCATTTTTTCTTGATTACCGTCAATAAACTCATCCACCTTGATTATCCGTTGGATTTGCAGTTTTCTTTATGGCCGTCGCCAAGCTGTTAAGATTAAGAACATTGTATCCCCTTGGTTGCCCGTGCACGCTGGAGTCCCGCAGGGCACTCGTACTATTGCATATGCGTTTTCTTTAGTGTTTGAGACATATTTGGTGTTTGTAATTTTAATTTTACTGAGCCCCAGGGTGCGAGGAACACTGTCTCAAATAATAGGAGTGCTTAAATATACTTTACAGTACCATAATTCATAGTGATTTGCATCTCTAAAACGATTTTAGAAAGAAACACGGACCAAAATATAGATATACCATAGCCTTTGTTTGGTCAAGTGCGTGCTATGAATTTCTGTAGCCAATCTCATGTGAAGCGAGGCAAAACCACTCAAAGTAGTCTCTCGCTAATTTCGGTCCTGACTCAAAAAAACGGTGGTTCAACGATCTGTTTAGCGCAGATTTGTGTGTGAATGCGATGAATTTTCCTTCTCTTTCTTTTACAGTTCTCCGATTTGATAACCGCTTGACATGTCTGCAACACCTTGCATGTTGTAGATCAAAAAATTGATAGATGGATTGGATATTGGTAAAAAGCCAGGCTGCATATTCAAAGATATCTACTAGAGTATGAACCGAATGATTAAAAGGTGGTTGGCTTAAGAATAGCCATTATCTAAAAATCTGATTTCCCGCCGGCTTTCATCTGCTGGAAGCGAGGCGTGTGACACGCAAATACTGACTAAATAAGCGGTGACTATGCATCGTCATAAGTCTAATATCAACTGTTTGTCCCTGAAGGTCCGATATTAATTGTTGCGTCACTTAATAAGCGGCAATTGTTTTGGAAGTTTGATGTTGGTAGGACGGACAAAGAAGCCCTTAATTTCAATATCACAATTCGCAAATAAGGAAGCTTTGACGTTTCATTCAACTGCAACACTTTTTGATCGTTAAAAGTCTCGAGCCATTTAGCAATTTCGCAAGTTTTTATTCAAAGACAGTTTTTCCCACCATTTCTTGAATCAAAGGGTCTAATTGTCCTGTAGATATTTTGCGATATTATGAGTGTTCAAGTGGACCAAAGGAGTGGTGACAAGAGAAGTTTCGCGAATTGACGTAAAGAGAAGTTTTTGCTATCCTGCACCAGAAATTGAACATGTTAGTCATTTTGGAAGTTGTTACCAATTTATGTTGCATGTCAAAAAAGGATGATATAGAACCCTAAGCAAATATACCTTGAGGGCAAAAATAAACCTATACAATTGAAACAAAAACAAACCTCAATATTTTTACATAGTTATTTACGTCAGTGGTGTCTTTCTTTTCTTAATCATCTTTAATAATTACCAAACAGACGTAATGATCACACGATCACAACAAATTTAATCGGCCTTGCATGACTCTAGCCAAAGTATCAAGAATTTCACGCAGTTCAAAAACACGCTCGGTTTTCTCGTCAAGGCAAAGTTTAGGGAGCAAAAACAATGGCAAATGTATAAAATTGTCAACGTTCCCTGGTTGGAAGGAATTCAAGGTGATTTAAACTCTTTGCAAAGAGTAGAAAATTTTTCGAATGAGTAAAGTCCGAACACAGGTTCCTTTTTCAAATATTCACGCTCTACCAATATTCAGCCGGCGGAAATTATCAAAATGGCATGACGTGGCATTGAGTAATTTTAATGATATGCATGTCATTATAGTTAGGGAGCGTGTGTCGATAGATTTTGAGTGGAATCTCTATCTATCTCACCTTAATTACTACATCTTGTTCAGCATCACCAGTGTCCCTCTTCCTGTAGAACACCAAGTTTGTGTAGCCGTTCATTTCCGAGGCGCTCATCATCATGTAATTTTGTTCTTTATCTGGCATCGGCATCATACGCCCTGTCGTTAAATAATCCTGTCGATAAAATGATGTGAAATTAAAATGATGTTGCTTCACACAGTCATTTGGGACTAAACTGCTATGAAGTAATAACATGACGGCCTGGCCGGTTTTCTTTTTAGCTTGTTGATGCGAATGACAACAACTAAGAAAGCCTTTTGTGTACTTGCACAGGTAAATATAACAAATTTAAATACTTTGTTCTCACGAATAATTTTCTTTGGCCCCGAGAGAAGTAAAATACGGTTAATTTCGGTCATTTAATAAGTTTAGTAATCACTTGATTACCAGGCAACTGTTATGATCAGGTGTTTTTTGTTTGCCTTAACTCTGCAACTAAGAAAAATGCCGAATCTCTTTTTATCATGTTCCCTTTTGTCACCCGCCAACGTAAGTTATGGTTTGGAGATTGTTTTGTCAACTTGTCAAACGAAAGCAAGCCTCATTACCAGTTGAGAGAAAATAGTCCAAAACTTCTTGAGCAATCGTCGTCCCTTTCGAATGATCCTTGAGTCCTAAATCATGATGTTATCGAGTTTCCGAGGCTTTTTTTTTGTTTTGTTTTGTTTTGTAACTCAAGAAAACTGTTACTCTAACATTTCCTGATACAAAATGAAAGTGCTCGACTTGAAATCTAGGTCATAGTTTCTTTCAAGGTAAGACACTCACCTTTGCATAACCGGAATTGTTGGAGAAACCTCCCACCATTACATCATAACCCATCATGTTTCCTTTTTTTTCCGACACACCGAAGCCAACCCAGCCGGTTGCGTTCACGGTGACGTTAAAATGAAACTCGTCCTTGAGCATGTCGTATTTCCACATCACTTTGTAGTTTTCATTATCGTACGACACCATTTTGTACATTGACTTGTCCCCTTTAGATGGGGAGAAAAAAGTCGCGACCAGCAGAACAACAGGACCGAAAACCTTCATGTTGACTCTTCGGATTCTTCCACGAGAGAATGGCTTCCAAACATACAGCAGGGCCCTATAAACTCGATCATTCCCTCGTATATTAAAAGGTGGTGTCCGTTGAGGTAATTCAACCAATCAGATCGCATTCAGGCATGCCAATCATCCAATTCAACCAATCGTGCCATGTTTAGTGGACTTTAGATTGACATTATTAACGGCTGAAAATAGAATTATAAATTTCCTGTTTGCCAGTTAAATCACATGTTATCCACAGAAAACATTACGAAAACTCGCCAACTGTCTTTTCTTAACTAATGGCTGAGGATAGTCCTTTGGAAAATAGCTGTTATACAATTTCCTCTCAGATTACCCCGATAGCGGGTAACTAATACAGAAATCGAAAGTAACTAAACAGAAATCGAAAGTAACTAAACAGAAATCGAAAGTAACTAATACAGAAATAGTATTCAGTACGCTTTTCCGTTTCTTTGAAAATATATTTATGTTAGTTAGGTAAGCTCAGTTTATGATCATTTTAATAAAGCCAATCTCTCGTATATAACAAGTATACAGGACATAGATTTTCCCACAGTTTAATAAACCTCATGAGGTTTTTGGATATTTATTACAATGAGGTGTCTCCGTTCGACGGTGACCAATTTTTAGTGTCATTGTTATACTATGTGCCAGTATTGCGTGAGTGCAACTTTTTCATTACAATATCGGCCCAGTTTAAGACAATGCAGGTTCCTAAACACGGCTTGTTTTGATGTTAGTCGAGAAACCTCTTAACGACGAGTTTCAAAACAAGCCTTGAAAGGAATTGCTTAAGGTGAATTAGGAAAGGAGGGGTTTTCATAGACCACAAATTGCAGAATACTAGCGTCAAGTGAGTAGCGCAGACTCAAGCTGAAATCGAGAAAAACACATCCCGCGGTTTTCGTTTATTTGGTTGCTCTGGACTACGGAACAAACAGACTGAACCGATCGGTCAAGATGAATGTCGGAAACACACATTAGCCACCGAAAATACGGACAGACGTAAAAACAAAGAGAACTAAAAAAATATCAGAGAATATAAAGAATGCTCCATTTTAGATCAGGGTCTTGTTCCCTAACTTTTGTTTCTTTGAATCGCTTCTGGTTTATCCCAAAGGGAAAAAATGTGGTTTAACAAAACCCCACAGCGTTTTGTGGCTGACCCATAATTAATCGTTTTCGCCTTCTGGCTCGAAATTTTCTTCGTCTTCCTTTTTCTGCGTATTATTGAGTTACAAAAATTACTTCCGCTGTAGTTATCGCGTGAGTTTGCAATATACCCTGAATTTCTTGTGAATTACTACACTAATTTCACGCGCCTCTTTTGGTGAAAAGCCCAGAATAACTCAAGGTGTTTATGACTGCCAACAAAATCAGGTTTCAACACGCGAACGCTTTAAAATTTAATTACTTTACGGTTGATCGTGATTGCTAAACGGGGCAAATAATTATAAGTTATTACGAAGTAGAAGGAATAGAAAAACGCAAAACAACAGAGGAAATACAATCGGACAAGAAAAGACACTTACAAACGTTGTGTGACTTGCGAGTACGAAGGACGGAAAAATTAAAAGATGATCGCAGTTAAGGAATCGATGTTAACCTAATGCACTCTGATACTCTAATGTTCAATTTTTTTTCTGAGAAACTTTTACGAATGAAATTAAACAAAGCAGAATTATGCGAAAAAATCTAACAGAATACAAATCGCCGTGAGTTAAAAGAATGCAAAAAACAATAAGAAAAATGTGCGTGCAAAAACACAAAAATGTAATTAGGAACGTAAAAGGAAAGAAATCACTAAGGGCCTCTTCATATTAGCCCAGTTGACCAGGCTGGCCCGCTTACCAGGACGAATTTCGCCTTGGGTTCATATGAGAATATTCAGCCCGGTTTCCGATATGAGAAAAAGGCCGAAGATCCTGAGGACGAGTGTTGGCGCGAAATTAGAAAAACAAAACAAAGATGGCGAAACACAGCCGAGTTATTACATTTGTGCCTCAATCATGGCTTTAGCAACCCTTTTTGTTGTATCACTGCAGTTAAACGGGTTGCTAATGATGTGGAAAATTCATCAGGCAAAGCAAAACGATGCCATTCGGGCCGCCTTGTTGTGTGATGAAACTGTGCTGCTATGTCATCGACCATTTAACGCATACGCTATTGCGAAAAATTCATCCCGGTAACCAAAGAGGCCCTAAGTGGGAATGCCGCAGTAACAGTGTTTGTTGACCAGGAGAAAGAAAAGAATCATTCGTTTAAATCGCTCCATATTTTGAGAGGGTATGGATGAGGGTAATTGAGGGCTTACTGAGAATTCGGAGTCCAGGAATGTTTGCGCCAATTAAGCCCACTTCAGATAACCGCACCACTGAAGCGTCATTCTTTTTCTTGGCATGTTTCGAGAATACGACATGATTGAACATTCAAATTGCCTCAAAACTCTGAATTAGGTTCACTCATCAGGAGTCATGATCCAGAGACCAGTAAGTCAGTGAGGATAGCATTCAAAATCTGCAGACTATTAAACAGTTTCATGCACTGTTATCCGTGTTAGCTAATGCTCGGCGCAGGAAGTCAAGCCATGCTTATCAAGAGGAGAGGGGGCGAGGGATTAATAGATCACCCCTTCCCTTCATAAAAGGAAGACTCGGGGGTTAAAAGAGACTGGGAATGTAAAGGAAAACTGCGGTATAGGAAGCCACAAAGACAACTATGGGGTTCATATCCCTAAACGATTTCGCTTGCAACCAAAAATTATTTCTCGAGCGTAAGTTAGGAACGTTGGACATGATCACGATACCGGAGTCGATTATGCAAGTTTAAGGGAAAAATTCGAATAAAAGACAACCCACGTGTTTAGACTTGTTTTCGGTTCGTACGTGCCTTCGGTCACGACACGGGTTAAGAGGTAAAATGAAACTCAATGGGGGGTGAATTCAAAACAATACAGGTTTGATCTATACCAAAAATATAGTTGTCATCCTAAAATAAGTTTTGAGGAAAACAAACTTACGCAGCACGTTCGATATGTTAGAACGCGGGCCACAAAAACAGCGTTGAGTACATATATTGGACTGAGACCTAACTTGGCTTGTTCTGCCTGGCCTCGACCTCACTCTCTCGTATTCCCTCTTGGGAGAAAGAAAGGGGACCTGTTCGGTGGAAGCCAGGTTGATATGATGTTTTTCAGTTTCAAACAGAGAATTATCCTAGCAGTAAGGGTTCGCACCAATGACAGTTAAACATGCAAAGTCGTCACGTCACAAGTTCTTTCCACGGTTAAGTAACCCCTAACTTCTATAAACTAGACCCAGTCTTCCATCATTGCACAGTATTCGCGCGCACGTGATAGACCGAAGGAAAAGGTATAGAAATTATACTGGTAGGGAAACACACTTCGTTATCAAATTATTGAACTTACACAAATCAAATTGCTTATACCTTTCCACTTCTGGGAGCTACCATGAAAGACTGGACGAGAAGGAGAACTAGTGACAGAAAGATAACATTTGATGCAACACTGACGCGCCAACCAATTCGAAGCTTCAACATCCCCAACACACGGGCATTGGACTGTTGTCCGTGCCCCGGGGGGTTGAGAATTTGGACCTTGCCTGGGTGGTGTGGTAAAGGTGAACCAGCGGAACACGTAAGGAGTCCGCTTTCGTGAGCAAATGGCTTAGAAAATTTCACACCGTGGAATAACGCCTAAGAGCGAAAAACCAGCTAGCTGCACCTAAAAAATTTCCTATATTCAGAAACGTTCGTTTATCACACAAATAATAGTTCAATAAAAATTGTGCTAGGGTGGGGCATTTGAACGCAGATTTTGCTCGGGGTCTAGAATTTGAACAAACCGATCTTCAAAGATTCAAATGCCCGTGGGGCGTGGGCTGTTGAAGCTTTGAATTGACCGACACATAGACCCTCAGTTTAAATTATAAGTAATATGGCAGAAGAATTCAGTGTACCGATATCTGAACCTGGAAGTGTAAGGGTTGAAATGTCAGCCATTTTCTTGTTCTCATCCCAGTTTGATGCCATTTGTGATTTCAAACTGTGATTAGGATAACGGAATTGATTTTTTCATCGTGTTTGCGTCATCCGTTCACCCCTTAACCCTCTTGAGTAACCAAGACAGATTTTCTCCTAACAGTATCAAGAAGAACAGTGGTGAGAATAAAGGAGAATCAAGATGTTGATTCAATACCAAAAATTCTCCAAACTGATATCATAAGAATTGCCACAGAAAGGAGAATTGCTTACAAGATTTTAAGAGTGAAACAGATAAAGAGTGTTTAACAAGGAGTTATGGTACCAAAAGTTGATTTGTATAGGAAATCGTATGAACGCGAGTGCATTTCGTGATTTATGGGCACGAGTGATGTTTTGAAAGTTCTCAAAATTGCACGAGCCGTAGGCCGTAGCCTTCAAAACATCACGAGTGACCATAAATCACGAAATGCACGAGCAGGTTCATACGATTTTTTATTTATTATATTCTCGATTTTTTTATAATTTGGTGTTCAAATTTGGCGCTTCCCCGGTGTTTCCATGGCAACTTCTCCGTATTGCACTCTATAACCTCTATTGCACTCTATAACCTATTTATGCATTCATCATTGACCAATCAGAAACGCGATATTTTGTTGAGTATATAATAAGAGCTGTTATTATGAAGGAAGAACTATGCTCAACAGTTTGCGAAGAAATGTTGATGCATGAAGATGAAACACTGTTCAAATATTAATAAGATCTTGGTGAACCAATTCGGTCTTTATTTTTACAAGCACTGAGATATCATTGTGTGACTGGGTTGAGATGACAGATTGATTTGGGAAGAGACACACTAAAAGCAAGCACTCAGCAACTCTTTTGGTTTGGTGCAGAGAAATGTGGAAGTCTCTCAATGCACTAGATAGACCACAGTCATCCAGCTGAAAGCTTTTTAAAACAATGGCTGGTTACAAACCTCAGAAAAGCCCCAGATTCTTTAGTTCTGAGCACAAGTTGAAATCCTAGAAAGCAGTCAATCTGACAGAGGGGAGAAAATAATCACACTCATTCACAGAATAAGCTGTTTTATTTAGCAGCACTATTACATTTTTAAGAGGAGGTTCATTTGGTCTTCTGTCTGCGAGTCACATCATCATCACATCAGGAAAAAGACATGGAAAACAAAAGTAAAAGAAGAAAATAAATATGGTGATATCTTTTAAATGTAACCTTCACTTGGAAGGGAAACAATAATGTACAGCAATCATACAGGTAACATGGATTGAACAAGACAAACATACAGTTTGAAAGCTCATGACCCTGAAATAGGGTTCAATTGACTGTTTTGAATTGCCAATATACACACAGATCAAAACCAATAACTAAATACTTTGCTTAATTCAAGTTAGTTTTAAGTTGAGTTTTAAGTTGTTTAAGACTACTTTATACATAGGTTTCCTACAGAAATCTGTCCAAGTTTGTCTAGAAACTCTGCCAAATATTTTCTAAATATCAATGTAACTGAATTCCCCCATAAAAACAATGCATGTGTAATAAAATTGTATGTCACTGAAGTAAACACTTGAATACTTAATGGTGTCTTGATAATGAACATCCAGTCTTATTATTGAACAAAAAAAATACATCCTTTGCTACAAGTTTTTCTTTCTTTTTACAGTTTTTAGAATTGAGATCAGAAACACTTAAAAATCAAAATAAAACTTCAAGATGAGTTTATTGCATACATTATGTTTCCTTCACTTGCCTCACAAAAAAAATGCACACCTTACAACATTATTCATTACATGTATTTTAGCAAGAAATCCAAGCAAGGTTAAACTATAAATCCTGAATTAGTGTTGACTACCCTGTACTGGCCCTTGGTATACAGATGTATTGATCTCACCTAATCTTCATCCTCTTCCTCAGCATCAGAGCCACCACCTTGCCCTTTCCTCATGTTCCTTCTCTTCACACGGCCTGGGCGCCCTCCACCATATGGTGAATTCAGTGAGAAATCAATGTGCTTTTGAGAGTCCAGACGCACAATGTATGATGGGACATTGACAAGCTGTTTGCGCACACTGGAGAGAAGGAAAAAAAAATCAACTACATCAATTTAATCCAAGAGCTTGGGACATTTTTCCTTTTTCATTTTCTTATGTACTAGTACAAATTACATTTTCAGATGAACCTAATGGAAGATTTTCAAAATGTTGCTGACCACTGCAATTACTATGATGCTTGTCTAACCACACTCATTTCAATGGTGCCCTACTAAAGCCATTTCAAAACAAGTGTGGAGAGAAGCCCAGGATTTCTTTGGTCTCCATCACAATATGACTGTTTCAGGAAACTTGCCCCAATTTCTCAAACAATCAGATTCAAAACTAAACCCAATTGTGACTTGGTCATTCACATTTCCTGTAGCAGTTTGCTTGTTTTAATTTTAATTTTTCAAACTTCAATTTTGGTTTTACACAACTCAATCTGACAGTGCTCCATACAACTTAGTTAACTTAACCCTTTCCCCCCTAACATCAGTATCCATATTCTCTATATCCCTACACATCTCCCACCGTGCTGACAAAGAGAAATTGTTCGATAATCAAAAGCTATCTTAGTTGATGATCATTTCCTCTTTTCTCATGACCATAATGTTTGATTCAAGGGTGATATTGTGAGGAGAAATTAGACGCTAATCACCAGTAGGGGTTTAAAGGTTAAGTCAAAATCCTCTTCATTTTCCATGGTTAGTTGCTAGTTCCAAAATACCTTGTTCATGTTGTGTAACAGAAAAACAAGTAATTTAAAGTATTGTTAGTGTTTTATCAAATTAATCTTGTAAAACACTTCAGTACTATCTGCCATTTTTTTTTTTCAACCATTTGCAGGGCATAAAATTGTGCCTAATACAGGTGCCAATGTGACAAAATTTTTTCTCTTTTGTGATCAAATCCTGAAAATTAGTCACAAATTGGGGACTAGAATGCTTCATCATAACCTTACCCAAAGACATAGCGAGTTAAAAAGATTTGGAAAGATAAATCCGCAGCAAACTTCCTTGTTAAGTTTGTTTCCAAAACGCAGCATGTGCATCTTGATTGATGACTAGAAGCCATCTTGTATTTAGGTGAGCTTGATGGTTGTAAATCATCCATCCTAGTGTCAACTTTGTGGCACATAAAAGATCTTTTTCCTAACTTAATTTTGGAGGGTTTATCTAGAATGCTGACAGCGAAAAAAAAAGGTTTTGTTTGTCTTTACAAATGGCAACCACCTTTATTTCGAATTGGCTACCACTTTGAAAAATTTAGGAGCCAAGAGGCTATCAGAAAAAAAAATTAATTTCATGCCCTAAGTTGATAAGTGTTGGCAATACATGACCTAAGCCAGACAAAAATTTCCAACTTCAGCTCCAAAATAAAGTTCTCAATGAATTGTTGCTACTTGTATAAACTGGAAAATTGAACACATTGACATACAATTATTGCTCTTTTAATTAAATTGTTATACTGGTATGAAGAAGTTCAACAAGACTATTTAATCACAGATGCACATAGGTCACGAAGCACAGAGTAAGACTCTCACTATTTACTCTGCTCGAACACGTTGACATACATTGCTCTTTTAACTTGTTATACTGGCATGAAGAAGTCCAAAGAGCCTATTTAGCCACAGATGCTCATAGACCATGAAGCACAGAGTAAGAATCTCACTATTTACTCTGCTCCAACACAATTTGAGTTAGAGCAGAGTGAATCAAAGTGCTTACAGCAGTGTCAGTGTATATGTCGAATTAGTGTTAACAAAATATGAACGATAACCCAAGAAAAACGGTGCAAAACACAGTTCCCGATTACTTATCCCTAACGAGCTCGTCTAAAGTTCATACAATACCAAGTACTCCTCGTGTGAACTGAAAAAATCTTCAACTCTTTGGTACAGGACAGTTTTCAATGACGTACGATCGAATCGCAGTTCGTTGAAAAAGCTCGAAAGTTACAACGATCAATCAACCGTTACCTCCTGCAACAAGATATGCAATGGAAAAAACCCACAAAACATCGAATCACTGCGTAGTCACGAAGAAAATTAAATTTCTTAACAGCTTACCGTATGTGTCTCTGTCGGATCAACACACGAGCGTGATGAATACTCTTCGCCAAACCAAGCTTAAATACTTGAGTTTGAAGACGCCTCTCCAAGAAATCTTCGATTCGCAGACCCAACACGTAATCGAGCTTCATTCGGGTCTCATCGAGCACGCCAATTCGTACGAGACGACGCAAAAGAGCATTACCTTCGAACAACCTTCTCTGATCTTTCTCCTCCAATGTAAGAAGTTCTCGCGCAGCCTTTCGGATCTTCGCCAAAGTGAACTTCACACGCCATACCTCACGTTTGTTACGAAGCCCATAGTCTCCAATAATTTTTAATTCTTGATTCAGACGCTCTTTCTCGAAGGGACGCCTTGGAGTTGTGTAGGTTTTACTACACACGTTCTTCGGCATCTTGCTGAAGAAAAAATGGCGATCAAAAGGAAGAAGATGGGCGGCCGCAAAGCATTTAACCACGTGTAAGGAGAACGATGAATTACGTGCACCCCCCTCTAGAGTGAACTACTCTAGATACCAGTGACTCTCGATCTCAGGGAATAGAGACTGTTTCTGTGGTAATCGATTTGGACTAATTGTCATAAATTAAAGAAATTACAGCGAAGAATCAAGTTTTGCGCTTGGAGTCTAGCCCAATTTCTATTCATTTCCGTGAGAGCTCTCTTTTTTTTTTTCGCCTACCCATTTTCTCAGAGTTTGAACAGAATTTTGTTTGGAAACAAAAAATTGCCGCGTCAAGACTGTGGAAAAGTTAATTGACAGGTCAGATTGAGTTTCAGCCAATCACGGGAGCATATATAGGACTTCTTGAGATGTCTAATCGTGAAAGTTGTTGGCACCTCTGATGGAGCTGATCAAAATCACGGGTTGTAGAAGGCTAACTAACATGCTATTGCGTTTACGAACAATTCATTTACGCTTTAGAGGAACGCACAAATACCATTGAATAAATGTTGACAAAATTCCTGCCCTCCCTGGATTATTGTTAAAAGTTACAACGAAGGTAATAAACAGCTGCTAACTGAAATGCTTTAGAATATTTAAATGCCTAGTCAATACCTGTTGCAAATAACAGGTTACAAACGGACAATAGGGCAATATTCGTTAAAAAAAAACAACCTTCATAGATGGCTGTCGAACACGCCTTCCTCACTAACATGTGAGGTGATTTAAACTTTGAAGTTCCATTCACTCAGCTTTGAAAATGGAACTGGGAAACCTGAGCTATGTCGACTCAAACGTTTCGCGGCAAAATTCTTCGAGCACAGCGAAACCTGGTGGTTGTTCTCATGGTATCGTTCTTGGGTGGCATCGCTTACGGTAGGTGAAATAACTTTCCACTAAGGTTTTGATCACGGGACGTTTCTACTTTACCAAAATTTCATATTTTAGTAACACCCTTCAAGACTGAATGTACGAAGAAACTTCTCAACACCAGGCTGTTATCCTTTGAATTGTAGAAAGGGGGCTCTGGGAACGAGTTTGGACTGAAAAAGACCTGTTAACGACTGTTGTTATGGTCCGAGCTTAGTTCCCAAGTCTCTAAATAGGATTGAGGTTCAAGGTAATATTTCAGACGCTTTTCATTGATCGATCGATAAACGTTTGTTGCTTCTCACATTTAAATTAGTCCATGGTAATTCAACCAATTTTTTCGTTAAAATTACGAACACCCTCATCCTCAAACCTGTCCAAGGGCTTGGTAACTTGGCTTGGTAGCGTACAGATTGGCTCTTGTGATCCCCAATACAAGAGAATGAGATAACAGATTGTTCAAGTGTCCCATGAACAGAATACATGCAGTAAATCAACAATTCCTACTCCATACTAATCTCTCCAAGATTTTTCAAACGCGTGGGTATCCCAGGGAGGCCCGTTTCTAAAACCGTTCTCCCCTTGCCTCCAAAACACTCTTCGCATACAAAAAACAAAGCGACAACCACGACCTTTGCGTAATCAACCAAGAGAAGCCCAGCATAAAAGCAAGAAACACCTCTTTAGTCAAACTTCACGATTTCACGGGTGTCGAAAGAATTCCAAATATTTCATTTTTTTTATTTTCATTGCTCTTTGATATTTCGATTTACCGGATTTTAGGCACGTCTGTATGGACGTATTTGGTAGCCACCCCTCCGTAGCTCTTGCACATAAATAAATACATGAATAAATTAAATAGTTCGACTTCTGACCACATGAACCACTGATATGCATTGGGGGGTGGGGGAGAGTAGCCCTATTTGCTCGATAGGCAGGTACTTCCCCTCATAACATTCACGAGAGAGGTGGTCCGTTATGTACAATATCACTCGTGCTTCATTTGGAAAGAAAGTAAAAATAGAGCAAACTTAGTTTTAACTTCCGAGGTTTTCACATGTATCTTTAAATTCACAGGCTTACTTTCCATTTTGAGAAACTCTGCAGTGCTCATTGACTCAAAATCGGCCTGCCTCAGAGATGCATTTTCAGACATCGTGTTGGTAATTGTTTACAACTATCCTTTCTACTCAAGTATTCCAGTGCTCACTGCCTTATACAAGCATGCATTTCCCACGATAATGTTTTGCGGACCGCGAAAGACTAAGGACTACACTGTGGAGGCTTTGTACATTAACAAAGGATACTTCTCCTACACGTGCATGTCACGTGCCATGGAGAAACATCCGGGGTATACAGGATATTTACTTATCAACGATGACGTTTTATTGAACTATTGGAACTTCGTTGGTATGGACCGGGACAAAATCTGGGAAGGGCCGAAGGGAACGATACTACTTTTTAACTACACTCAGCCTGCAAATTGGTATTGGTGGAATTCCACATGGGGAATGAAAACCTGTCAAAAATCTTATGATGAAATCCGGGGTTTGGGCAAGTCCTTGAAAAATGAATGGTTGCCAACTATGATTGATGATAATCACAACGACGCACTGAATGCAAATGCTCCTCCCTGGAGCCCGATATGGGACATGGAGGGGTCGATAGAACTTTTGAAACAGAATGGAAATGGAACGTTAAACTGCTACCGCGGTCGCTCAGACATATTTTACATACCCGGTAAATTTTCGGAAGCGTTTCAAACACTCTCCTATATTTTCTACAAGCACCGTTCATTCTTAGAAATTGCAGTTCCTACCATGTGTCGTATGCTTGACAAGGTGGAGAATTTTAAGTTTATCCCTGGGATTTACCTGCCTGGAAAAGCAGGGGAACCCTTGGTTAGAAAGGCTGAGCACTTCTGGAAATCGTACGACGAGAACTTGGCGTTCATTCATCCTTTGAAACTTAACTATGAGCTTGATGGAATTCTAAACATGGCTTTACTGAGAAACAGGATGTTGAAGTATAGTGACAGCATTAGTAAATGCTAAAGAAAACTGATGTTAAGGTTCTTCCAAAGCAATTGCGCACACGAAATCCAATGACCGATAAAAGGATCGCTAAAATACTTTTCAGAAGACGGATACTGAGGAGTAGGTGCCAGCAACGAGCAATGATGATGATGAAAATACTTTTATTTGAAGATTTTGAGATAGCAGAATAGCACTAGGTATTTACTTGCATTTATTTTGAACGGTATATCTTAACTACAATACATATTTACAATGATAATGCAACACTATAATAAAACAATTTTACCCAAGGACGTACAATTAAAGAAAAGTGTCGCGCAGTCCCCGAGCAGAAAATTGTCTTTCAAGTAAAAGTGAAGGCGTATATACATAAATAAGGTCGATTTAAGATCATTTAAAAATTATACGTTTGCTTTCATCTTTTTAAAACCTTCTAAAAATTGACGAAAGATTCTTTTTAGAAGAATTTGAAACTCTAAGAATATTAGATTAAAATATATCTTCATATTGATCATTCATTTAAAAGCATGCGAATAATGTCTTCTGCACAAGATAGTCTTCCGGTAAAGACGGGTCTGTGTTTCGACAAACGGGTCTGTGTTTTAATCCCTCTCATATAAGTAGTAGGGTCTCTAGATTCCACCCCCCACCCCGCTCCACCCCACCTTTCCAATTCTCGTGTGCGTGTGCGGGACACCTAAAATTTACAATAAATTAGCTTAGCATGAAGAGAATAGTTATAAATATCAAACAGATTTTGACTCTCTGTGGTCATTTTAATGTCTCCCAGGAAACCAGAGAATTGAAATATAAATACGCTTTAAATTACTCGTTCATAAATAAATCATATATCTTTAAATCGCTTTGTAATTTATATTGGATGACAAAGGATTTGTTTTGCAAACCTTTGTAAACAATTAAATATTTCCTTCAGAAGAAGGAAAATAACAACGTGCTTACATGATGTTACAGGTGCGGTGTGGTTCCTTAAATTTCTGCTTCTTGCCGCGTCTCACTCTCAACCTTCTCTTTGCAAACTTTTTCCGCCTCCTTTTTCTGCCTTTATAGATCAATGCCTCAAGCATATTCGAGAAGATTTTGTCCACTCTGAAATCTATCTTTGCCGACGCCTCGATGTATTCTCCTTCAAGGCGAGACATCACTGAAACAGCTTCGTACCCTTCACGTGCGGTCACTTCGCGCTCGGTAACATCCGTATCCAACTTGTTGCCAACCAGAATAACAGGCACAACGTTTTCACTGTTACCTCTTAGCGCAGATATTTCTTCCATGGTTTTCACAGCTTCTTCAAACGACACTACGTCGTCCACGGCGTAAACGACGATATATGCGTGGCTTGAATTTAAAGCCAAGCTCCTCATTACAGGAAAGGAGTACGAACCTGCAGTGTCCACGATACAAAGTGTAAAGTGCTTCCCGTCCATCGACAGAGAGTGTACATAATAATCATCGACGGTCGGAATGTGTTTTTCTTCAAAAGGTTGATCGAAAAACGATCTCAACAACGCTGTTTTGCCAACACCTCCACTGCCAAGAATTGAGATGCAAAAGTCAAATGGCGGAATTGCAGCATACGATGCGACGTTAGAGGGTACCTCGCCTTGATGGCTTTCTTTCATTTTCTCCAGCTAAAAAATTTTAAAACGTTCTTGAAGCGCTATTCATTCATGTTCCTGCTAAGACATCGAGGCTCTGAACTCAGCCTTCATTCGTTTCTCTGGGGAAAAATCTCTCGATTGTCATTTTATAGAACCATATACACGATTAAAATTCATCACGTCTCTAAAAACGGATTTCCGCCAGTTGTTTCACGCCGCCAAAATATGTTGGTGCTCGGTCGCGAAATGTAGCACGATCTACGAGAATTCTTAACATTTTTTCCTGATATTTTATCGCGTATTTTATTTCATCATGTACTAAGAGATTGATATTTTAATTTGCGATTCCAATCTTTGATCAGGGGCATTCTAGTAGGTGCCATTCAATATCACCGTTGGCAAACCCTCTTAAACACTAACAGTGGCTTCTTTTTTAAACAGCTGGGACAAATAACTGGAATTATGAAAATGAAATTTCATTCAGAAAACAGGGATACCTGCCTGCCCATCTGGACATTTTTTTTTAATATTGATTTAATTGGAACTGCGTACAAAATATTGCTTTGAACGAAAGTCCGGTTTTTCTTAAGTGAAATTTCGCCACAAATTAATTCCACTAAGTTCACCGCAGTTTCCTAATTTCTTTTTGTTAACATCTTACCATCACGATCGTTTTCTGAACGCTGTGCCGCTATAAGTATTTTTACTAGCGTTTTGGCTATTTGCTGATAGCATTCTAGTACTAGAGGCTCCTGTCCAGCCCTTTCACCGTGGGATAATCCTAGATGGGGCTGCAATTGCCTGATTACTGATCTCTAATTTCCCGCTTCAGTGCTCATGAACAACAAATAATGTCTGTGCATTCTTCGCAATGGCTTTTGCTTACATTTAATTATTTGTTGTTTCTAAGTTCAAGAGTATACTGGACTAATTGAATATTCTGTTTTGATGTTCAAATGTTGGTCCAACTCTAAGTTCACTGTTGTCTCAATTTATTTATTCATTCATGGGCACTTATCAGGACCGTTACCGCGGCCGGAAAGAATAGTGTTACCTTGCCCTGAAATTATGTCCGCTGATTCTTCCGTGATCGTGACAAGCCCAGTTTTGCGATTTGTACTGTACTATTTTACTTTCCTGTTTTTGTTTGTTTTGACTTTTTTTCTAGGGGGAAGGGGACTTAGCTCTGCAAACAGAGAGGGAGGGCGCCTTCTTTCGTAACACTTAAAATTAACCACTTGCTGTTTTTTTCGAAGCTTTTTCATTTAACTTTTTAGCTGTTAAAAAAAAAACCGCAAAATAGAAAAGAAAGTTCAAACTCACTCTACAGTTATTGGCAGTGACATCGATAACACACCCGCTTTAAAAATTCATAAAGGGGTGGCGTTTAACTTAACTGACAACCAAAACACAATTGTCAGGCAGCACTGTGCTGCGACACTTAACAAGGAGGAGGATTGATGCAATATGAATTTGTTTATTCAAGAGGCCGAGTTTCGCACTATCGTGAGCCACTATCAAAGTTATATCAGGCATATCACTGCTTACAGGGAAAAATCTGATGTGGCTGCGCAGTAAATAATATGTAGAGACTATTATTTCGGCTTGAAACAAACCGAATGTCTGCAATATTTCAGGTGCTCGCTAAAAACAAGGCAGTTGAATTGACTTACAATATTAGCCCAATCGATAAAGCGTAATACTGAATGTTTAAGAGCTAAATCTAATATGTTTAGTATCTTTATATAACTTAATATGGCTTAGTATTGTTACATAACTTATCCCTAACCACTACGATTTTATTAGGTGTTGAAATTCTGTGAGATGGCCTCTCGTTGAGTGTGCATCAGTCTATATATAAAATATTAAGATTTTTCTCGCGATGTTTGCAGCCCGTTGTGATATCCAAAGAAATAATTGTTTTGTTATTTTTATTAACATCGCCATAACGGTCGTCTTGAATATAATCTTCTACCTCGTTGACGACCTCGCCAACTTTTTTTGTCGCTTTCATCTTGTCGTCTTCGTTATAATCGTCGTATCGTCATCATCATCGTTGTGTTCTCGGCTCTAATCTTCGTCTCGTCATCGACGTCTTTTCGTCAAAGTCGCTGTCATTCTCCACATAACTATGATCGTAATTGCTCGCCACTAATCTATTGAAGATCTTAAGCTTTTGCAAACAGCTTAGCAGCTACATTTTCAATTCTTTCTCTGTACTCCAAATTCTGGTAGTTGCCCTTGGGTACACTATCCATGCCGTACAAGGCTCCCCACCAAGCCGCCGCGATCACTCCTGTGCTGTCACTGTCACCACTGTGAAACATGGCTCGGCTACAAAGCTCCTTCCATGATGCTCCGGCACCAAGAAGAGCGTCGTAAGCAATCATAGGTGCATCGTGGCCGCTGGATCCGCCCCACCCACTAAAACTGACTGATTTGTAAAAGACATCCCGTTCCTTAATGTGAAAGGGCTCTGGAAAAACAGGGTCACCATTACCTTGGAGAATTCCACGAAGTGAGAGATATTTTGTCCAGGCATCAGTGAAGTATGACCAGTGTTTTTTGTTCTGTTCTACATCACGACCAACCTCTTCGATGTACTTTTTGGCCTTAGGCAAAGTGGACAATAATGCTGCACCCCACTCCCTGACAGGTTTTCCTTGGACAGCAAGTGAAGTGAAAAAGGAAGATGCTAAAGAACCAAGGTAACCTGAAGAAAACAAATTAAAACTTTGAATTACATGTCTATTGAATAAATTAACCCTTTAACCCCTAAGAGTGCCTAGCATCTAATTTCTCCCTACAATATAACCCCTGAATCACTTATTAAGGTTAGGAGAATAAAGGAATGATCACCAACAAAAGAAGCTTTTGATTAGTAAACAAATTCTCCTTATCAGCACCATAGAAATAAAGGACAGTATGGAGAATATACATACTGGTGTTAGGGTGTAAAGGGTTAATAATATCTTTTTCTGACCTTTTGTTGTGAATTACCTTTTGACAAGCTTTTACAGTCAGCATTCACATGGGGCATGAAATATTGTGTGAACTACCTTTTTTTTTTTCACTAACCAAAATTTTTTCCCTGGTTACCATTTAAGATTCAAGGTTGGCTGATGGAAACCCTATTTTTATATTTGTAATTAGCTCATCTGTCTAGTACCCTAACTGGTTCTTATTGACCTTATAAAGATAATGAAGATGATGACATATTCAAAAGAGAAGCAATTAGGAATTAGATACCAGTAGGGTGATTGTGCGTCATCCTTCCACTCTCAATACTAACAGCAATAAGATCTTCAAGCTTGTCTGGGGAGTGATACAACAGGCCAATGCACATGGAACGCATAGCTGCACCACATCCTCCCCCCTTAAGGTTAAATGGTATCATATAGCCTTGACTTATAAGAGGTCTCAGTTGTGAGCAGCTTGATGCAGTTGTGCCCCCTGGTGCTCGGCCTCTCATATCTTCCTGTTAAAAGACAGAATTGAATGTGATGAAATTAAGTCTCCTTAATGTGTTCCTTGTGAGAGATGTGAGAGCAAAGTGGATAGTGACTGTTTGTTCAAAGGCTAGTTAGTGCTAACCCAAGGTTAAATTTTTAATCTGGGTTTCTTTATTCCTTTATTCAAGAGCCTTTTTGGGACAATTTTCTGTATTCTTTTTAGAGCATCCAATAATCATATTCTAGACAAAAAGAGTTGGACTGAATTTTCTTTTAAAGCTTTCAGATCTGAAATCAGATTTCACATGAACCGTGGGTTATCTCAAACCAGCTTTGAACAACCCGGCCCTGATCAAAAGAGACTGGCTAGAGATCTGGCGGGGTTATGGTGCTATCTACTTGGACAAGAAACTTTTCTCTAAAAGTGCCTCTCCTAAACCAGAAGTATAAA